CTGACCAAATCTTAAAAGAACAGAAAGTCGGGACAGAAAGAGTGAGGAGTGCAGGAGACAAGTCATGCAAGAATGGAAGCTGGTATTTAGATTTGTTATCCGGTTAACTTTCTGGGTGTGTGTGTCATCCTTGTTAACAGGCATCTTCTGATAAAGGTGGGGTTGGTAATGGGGTGGGGGGCAGGGGACTGTGGAAGTCTTGCTATTAATCATACTAAACATCTTTTCTCAGTTTCTTCCCCAAGTCGTCCCTGTGGAAGATTTGCCTATTATGCAACTCAGAAACAATAAGGGAAGCCTTGCTAAAATGTGGCTTAGGATCTTGGAGAACTAACTGTAACTTTATGCTTGGTCTGTAATAGCTATTTTTGGAGTTACTTTAGTTAGCTTGGCTCCTAACCCTGCCCTTTCCCTTTGTTCTCCCACAACCATTTGTAAGAGAGGATCATGAAATTAATACAGGCGTTGAGTCAAGCAGTCTGTGTTCCACTGGCAGTGTGACCTGGGGCAGGACATTTCACCTCACTGAGCCTTAGTTTCCTCACCTGTAAAATGTGAAAAATATCACCTTCCTTACCAGGCTTTTCTGAGGATTTAATGACATCATGTTCGGTTCCCAGTATGGTGTCTGAAACACTGAGTGGATAATACCCAGGAGCTTCTTCCTCTTCTCCTCCTAAGTTGACTTGATGCCCCCCTGCTGAAGACCGTGGCTGAACTGACTCAGTTTGGATCCAGGATTCCTGGCTTTGTCTCTTCCCTAGTTGCCCGCCACACCCATGGGCACCCTTAGGTAGTTTATCCTTTTGGGACAACTGGACTCATTAGAGAAGGGTATTCTGGGGTGGAATAAAGCCCTCTTCAGTCCCCACGGAGCCTTTTTGAAAGATGAAGTTCTCAAACCCACAAGAGAATTCATAGAAGAGCACACCACCCACAGTTAGATTTCCCTCTCAAGTGCTTTATCTCCACGTGGGGCAGATGGCTCTTTGTCTGCATATGTTATTGGAGCTTTTGGAGTCCAACATTCAGAAGAGCTCTAATTTTTGGATTCATATCAGTTTATTAGAGAAGCCTAGTTCTGAGGATTGGCAAATGGGTAGGTGCTCAGACATCCCAGAACAAGCAGAGCCATGACAGAAGTTTCGGGAATGATCTCACAGAGTCGGTGCCTTCATGGACCCAGTGGGCCTAAATCCAATAGCCTGGATTTGTCACTTTCCCTTATTCCCTTATCAAACTCTTCCCTTTTGGACATCAGAGAAGGAAAGTGCTTCCTGCAAGGGGGCAATTTGCAAAGCTTCATGGAAGTGGCATTTGAGTGTGGCCTTAAAGGATGTGTAGGATTGGAAACCACAGATATTTAGAGGAAGGCTTTCCTGGCAGAAGGAACAGCACCAGCAAAACACAGAAGTGGAAATTAGTAGCAGCATTAATGGAGAATAATTTGGGGAATAAGATACACAAATGGAATAATAAAAATAGCGTTGATTAAACATTGTGGGAGTCATTCTGTAAGATGGCTCCTGGTGATCTCTGCCTCCTGTTCTTCATGCCTTATGTAACCCCTCTCCTTGAGTGTGGTCTGGAATTACTGATTCACTTTCAATGCATACAATGTATCAGAAGTAATGGGATATTCCTTCTGAGAATAGATTTTAAAAAAAGAGTGTGACTTCCTTCCTGGCATTTTCGCTTTCTCTCTCTTGAATTGTGTGCTCCAAACAAAGCCAGCTGCCATGTTGTGAGGAAGCCCTGTGTGGAGGACAACATGGTGAGGACGGAGGCCTGCCAGCATCCATGTGGTGAGCTTAGATGCACCCCTTCCCAGTTCCAGCCAAGCCTTCAAATGGGACCACTTGACCAGTTGCTTAACTACAATCTCATGAGAGACTTTGAACCAGAAGCTGAGCTGTGTCCAGATTCCTGACCCATACGAATAATGTGAGACAACTGCTTGTTGTTTAAATCACTAAGTTTGGGGGTAACATGTTTGCAGCAATAGATAACTAACATAAGCACTTAACTATAACGTGCCAGACACTGCAACAGGTCCTTCATAGATCTGATATTTAATCAACAATATTAGGTGGGTATTACTATCCCTTTTTTTTTTCAATTGAGAAAACTAAGGTTTAGGCATCTGCCTAATTCCTATTACTATCTAGAAAGTGAAGGATCTGAGATATGAACCTAGGTAGTCTTATTCCTGGGTATATGCCCTGAACATGGACTGTCTACATTCTATAAGCAGTGCCCGTGGTTACAGTTTGGTCCACTCCTGCTGCCCCCTGTGTTGCCCCGCCCCACCTTCCCTGAAGTCGCCAGCGACCCAGCCCTCATGTCTCAGCAGAGCCTGAAAGGAGCCCTGGGAGTGTTTTGAGCAGAGTCTCACTCTCCATGCTCAGTTGCCTTAGCCAGGCTGTGCCACCTAAATCCAGCTCCGTGCCTCCATGGACAGCTGTGGCCTGGCCCCTAGGAACCCAGCCTCTTGTCCTCGCCTACCTGCCACCCCTTACCCTTGGCACTTTCTGGGGTCTTAGAAGCCTGGGATAGTGGTATAACCCTCGGGTAGGGTAACAGTACCCTTTCTCTGACCCTGGGCTGAAGGTTACTTCCTTGGAGGCCATATCATCTCTTTTAGGACCCCCAAAATACCAATTTTCCATGGATTTAAATCATGGGGCTGGGGGAACCCAAAGGGTCCTGCTCCCACTCTAGCGGGCAGAGAACCCTAACCCTGTGGATCTCTCCCTGGTCTGCCCAGCCTTACTCTGCTTCCTCCACAGTGTCACTGGATAGTGGTTTGTTTCAGGGTATTCCCGGGAGACTTAAGCTTGCCGCTGCCCCTCAGTGAGAGAGATCAGTCACGTGAGAGATCCCCTCTTGGGCCTTTGCAGGGAGGCAGGGGTGGACATGTGTGGGATGCTACGTGCTCAGTCCTGGGAGACCATGGAATTCCTTCAGATCACAATATCTATTGGCAATGTCATCAAGACCTTTGGCACATTGGCTGAGTCTCAAGAGGTCTATAAATGAATGATTATCTCTGGCTAATATTAAAAACAAAGAAACATACTAATTAAACAGAACCTGAAGAGTTAGAACTGATCCTTCCATCTCTGTTCTCTGTTAACCCTTGGAGGGAATGAGCAGTGCCCTATGGCACAGAATGAGCTTACAATGGGCGGATCAAGGTCCCAAGGCAAGCTTTCCCTGGTGGCAGAACTGGGCACTTGTCCCAGCTCCACCACCTGCTGTCTGGATACTCCTGGGAGGTTCACCTCACTCCCTGAACCTGCTTCCTTTTATATTAAACAGGAGCCTGGAGCAAGTCACCGCCAAGGTCCTTGCAATCTTGACGTTGCGGTTTTATGGGACTTTGTTTAATAATTGTTTCTAGGGCTGGCCGATGAGCAGGGTACTCCCCTTTCTGTTCTGATCCTCTCCTCTGCTCACAGGCTCCCCGATCCCTCTGCCCCTTCTGGAATCAGTGTTGCTTTATCTGAGCCACGGTTTCACATAGAAGTGCTCTGTGAGTCAGAGGCGGAAGCACTCAAGGCCCAGGAACAAAGTTTTGGGTAAAGGAGCAACATCTGGCTTCCCGAATCATTCTCAACAAGCCAGGAGTTTTCTTTCAGAGGCACATACAATGTACCAGTCTCTAAACACCTGCAGCAGCCCTCCTAACGCCCACTGGGAGGTGGGGAACGGGGTGGCACAGTGACCGACCTTTAGCCAACTCCCGCCTTCTAGGAATCAGGTGCCACGCTGGGGACGATCCTATGTGTAGACTCTATTTTATAGAGACGGGAAGTCAGAAAATGCTAGAATCAATACTTAAAACTCAGCTTTTTGATTCCCAAGTTCATGAGAGAAGACATTATTTCATTAATTCACTCCCCACATATTTATTAAAGGAGTCTCAGTGGATCATCTGAGTTGGCTTCAGGGTGGTTTATGAAGCAGAGAAGAAAAATGCTTTACTAAGTCACATGGCTAGAGAATGCATTTGACTTGCATTATACATTTAGACACCTTTCTCTGGTAGGACTGACTCAAAGCCCATTTAAAATAAATTCAAGGCCGGGTGTGGTAGCTCATGCCTGTAATCCTAGCATTTTGAGAGGCCAAGGCAGGAAGATAGCTCGAGTCCAGGAGTTTGAGACTAGCCTGGACAACATAGTCAGACCCCCATCTACAAAAAATAAAATAAAATAAAATTAGCTGGGTGTTGTGGCATGTACCTGTGGTCCCAGCTACTCAGGGGGCTGAGGCAGGAAGATCACATGAGTCTGAGAGGTCAAGGCTGCAGTGAGCCTTGATTGCACCACTGCACTCCAGCCTGGGCAACAGAGCAAGACCCATTTTGAAAAATCAAAACTAAAAATAATAACATAAATTCAAGAAAATGACAGTTGGGTTACTCTGTCTTCCTCTGGTTTCTAACAGGACTTCTCCTATTCCAATGGATGTTCTTTGGCCTCCAAAACAGCAGCCCCACCTGGTATTGAAGGGCCGGTGTATAAACAACCTTCCTTCTATCTTATCCTGGCTGGCTTTATCAGATTTCACTCACTCCCTGGAGCCCCTTGCAAGGACTGGGCTGGGACTGCAGGGCTGAGCAGGAACCGGCTTCTCTATCAATTTCAGGGAAGGGCCTTCTAAACTCCACTCTGCTCCATACCCTCCAGCTAGAAACCCAACCTCCTGCCTTTGGGGAATTTGGCCCCAGTAGGGGCTCAGTGTCTTTTCCACAAGCACTTTTCCTATGGCCTTTAGGGGGGCACATGACTTTGAGGAAACCAGACAGCTGGGGGGACATGAGAATCAGGGCCGGTGCTTGCAGGAAAGAAAGCAAACGCTCTGAATGTGAGCCAGATGGCAGGTCCCCCACGCAAGGCAGGGGACTCAAGAACGCTTCCTTTCATGCTAGCAGTACTAGCTGCTCCTACCTTCATGAAATGCATTTTTGAAAGCAGAACAAATGATTGTTCAATTCGAGAAGCCCACAGCCCTTAATACTCATAGTATTTTCACCATCACCTTAGCCCCTGGTCAGCTGGAAGAGCAGCAGGGGAGGGGAATCACCACTTTGATTTCTACCTCCCAGCTGGGGCAGGTGCAAGGCGGCACACTCCATCAGCTCCTTGCCCAGAAGGGCAAAATGATGTCTCCTTTCTCCCTTTCTTCCTTTTTCCCTCTCTCCCTCCCTCCTTCCTCCTTCCCTCTTTTCTTTCCTCCCTTCCAACATTTTTTGAGTGAGGATCTTCTGCCAGACATTGTACAAAATTTGGGGAATCCAAGGTGCAGAGAGGAGGCCTGGCTCTGCCCTCCTGGCCCTTCCAGTCCAGCGGGGAGGAGAGGCCTCCTGCCAAGACATAGCAGCTGAGAGGAATGCTACAAAGAGTTCCTGGGTCCTGCAGGGCGGAGTGACTGGAGTGACCGAGGTGACCCGCCTGGGTGGGGTGGGAATAGGACAGGCTGTCCTGGAAAAGCGATGTTTGGGCTTATACCTGAAGGGGCAAACGCAGGATGGAAGTGAGGGCATCCCAGGTGGAGAAGAGGGCCCGGGCAATGGCTGTGAGGGAGAGCCCAGGAAATGGGAAGACCACCAGGGTGGCCCAGGGCAGAAAGGTCAGGTGACCAGGCAGGAGGCAGGACTGGAGTCAAGTTCGTGTTTATGCTGGGAGCCTGGGGAAGCCGGCGAGAGACTGGAGCGGGAGTGGCCTTCAGGGCACACTGGACGGTCTTGGGGCGCCCAGTACCTTGCAAGTGATGGGCTGAGGCCCCTCCGCCCTCCTTGTCAAGCAGTGTCCACGGATAAGGGCGTCCCAGGGGGGCACGTGGGCGAAGAGATGGCGGTGCTGGGGGCAGGGACAGGGACAGAAGGCAGGAGAGTCGCCCTCAGCATCACCTTCTCTCCCCTCCCCACTCCCGAGGCCAAGCGCCCCAGCAGGAGGCTTCCCTGCCCGCCTCGGCCCCGCTTACACCGCAGGTGCTGTGAGTCACCCACCTGCGTGGTGAGTCAGGGGAGGAGGCGGGGAAGGCAGGTGGGCGGCGCGGCAGGGTGCCCGGCTTCGCGGGGAGGGGAGCGCTCCCTCCCCACGTGCCCCTCCCCCAGGAGCGGTTTCCAGAAACCCGTTTGCCCATCCCCGGCAGGAGGCCTCCGCCCGGCTTCTGGCTCCCTCTTCCCTCTCCCCGACCCCCTCCCGGGCTGTCGGCCGACTGCCACCGTCACCATGGCTACGCGGCTCCAGCTCAGTTCCACAGTCAGCAGGAGTCGAGCAGGGGAGGCGGCTGTCTCCTCGGTCTTCCTGCTGCACCGGGTTCTTTGAAAATCAGCTCCCAGCTGCATGCTGCGGATACCAGGCCCAGCCCCTTACCTGGAAGGCTCACCTTGAAAGACGGCAGGATGAGAACCAGGAAACGGGACCACAGGCATACCAGGGAGGCTTATCTTGCCTGGCTTCCCTTTCTAAGCACGGAAGCACATACCGGTGTGTTGGACATGACCGATGAACCAAGATTTGGTGGAAGGCCACCACTGAGTGACTGGAGGTAGACGTGGAAGGCTTTGGTTGCCATAGGCAACTTGGGGCCAGAGAGACCTGGATTCAAAGGCGGCTCTTATCAAAGGGATAAACTGGGACAGACAATTTTGCCTTGCTGGGCCTCAGTCTCCTCATCTGTAAAAGAGGGATAATCCCCCCTTGGTAGATTGAGATGAGGATTAAAGATAATGTATGAAAAATATTTGGCACGTAGCAGGTGCTACCAAATGCTTATTGTTGTTATTACAGGGTTCAGAGCCCTTTGAGATGCTCCACCAGTGTTTGCTGATTTGAGGGTGGCACAAAAGGCAGTTTTCCCCAACACCAATTGAAAGACTCCTTGGAGTGTGAATTTCAAGATGGTGGGGTACAGCAATTCCACCCTCTCGTCCAAAGTCTCATCTCTGCTGGGAGACTATGTGACCCATAACCACACTATAGGAAGACGGTGGAAGGTGAAGGCATGAGCAGAGAAGAGGGAGGTCCAAGCTGAGTGCCTAGGAACAGGGGTGGCCTACATCGGACAGGCCAGTTGCTATGGCCCATAGAAGCTCGGTAGGTCTCAAGGACTGGAGCGTTAGCTGCTGTGGAAGGGAGTAAGGTGAACACAGAGACATTGTTTAGACGTCTTTACAAGTATTTACAACAGGCAGATAGACTTGCAGATCTCAAACCCTACCCTCTCCTGCAGGAGAGGAAGTTTATTTTCTAGAGAAATTGGACCAAAAAGACTTTATGCTAATAACACCAGGTTCAGAGGGAGGGGGTGAGTTTGCATAATGAGTGAGCACTTCCCCTGACCTAGCCTCAGAACAACAGGGACAGGAAATTGAAGGATTTCTTTTCTGCAAAAACTGGACCCACTCACACAAAAAAAAAAAAAAAAAAAAAAAAAAAAAAAAAAAAGCCCATCCCCGGCAGGAGCTGCCCATACATATATTGACATTTTAAAACGTTTTATTGTGGGCACATAGTAGGTATATACAGAAAGAGACGTTTGGAGGCTCCTAGCAAAAAAGCCCATTATCTATCTGATCACCCTGGAATAAAATCCTGTCCATGCACGCAGAACTTCCAATCAGCTCTCAGCTCTTCAGGGCCTCCTTAAATTTGAGGGGCAGTCAGGGATCATGACTGAATAAAGTGTCCAACATCACAGAGAATAAAATAATCGAACAGGGAAACAAAAGCATCTAATGAAGTCAGTAGAAATAATGAAAAAGCAGGGGAAGCTGAAGATAAATTATAATTAATATCTTTAGAGGTAGAAGGGAAGATGTTACATCCACAGGATGTGATGAAAAAGGAACAAGTAGGGCAAGAAGGAGTTCCAGGAAGTTAAAAATACGAGAGCTAAAATTTCAAAAATTCCATACAGTGTTGGAAGATAAAGTTTAGGAAATTTCCCTGAAAGTAAAGCAAAGAAGGGCAATAGGAGAAAAAAAAAAAAGATAAGAAATCATAAGAGCAATTCAGGAGGTGCGATATCCAATAGGTAGTTTTAGAAAGACAAAACAGAGAACATGGTGGTAAGAAAATTATTTAGAAAAAAAAAAAAAAAAGAAAGCCGTAGAAGAATACAGATCTTCAACTGAAATGCTCCAAATGCCCAAGGTAATATCTGATGACAGCCCCATACCAAGATACACAGTTGGGATATTGCAGGACTCCTAGAGATGGAAAAAAGATAGTAAGAGTTTTCATAAAGAGAACTAAAACACTTACACAGAAAGGATCAAGAATTGGAATGACACTGGACTTCCCGATAGCAGCATGGGAAGCTAGAGTACATCAGAAAAATGCCTGCAATATCCCCAGGGATATTTATTTTTGTCCTAAAATTCTATTTCCAGCCACACTATCAATCAAATATGATTGATAGTATCAGTCACTGCCAATCCATAAAGACATTTGCAAAATACAAAAAAAATTACATCCAGTGTATCCTTTATTGGGAAGCTACCGGAAGATGCTGTACCACGAAAAAAGAAGGTTTCTAACTTTTTTTTTTTTTTGAGACAGAGTCTAGCTCTGTTACCAGGCTGCAGTATAGTGGCGTGATCTTGGCTCACTACAACCTCTGCCTTCCTGGTTCAAGGGATTCTCCTTCCTCAGCCTCCCGAGTAGGTGGGACTACAGGTGCCCGCCACCATGCTGGGCTGATTATTTGTATTTTTAGTAAAGACAGGGTTTCACCATATTGGCCAGTCTGGTCTCGAACTCCTGACCTCATGTGATCTGCCCATCTTGGCCTCCCAAAATGCCGGGATTACAGGCCTGAGCCACCTCACCCAGCCAGAAGGCTTCTAATCTAACAAAGGGGAGAGGCACAGGGAGGTTCCAGGATGAAGCTATGGACAGGCTCTAGAACGAGCTAGTCCAGGTCAGAGCAGAGCATTGCAGGGTTCTGGGAAGAATTTCTCCAGGGAAACAATGGAATGATTGTAGCCAGGTTTGAGATGTCAAAAATTGTATAAAATGTTGATTTGCAGGCTTCTCAGAAATATGGAAAGACTCAGATGTTTAGAGAAAACAAAGCAAAAGCAAAACATGGAGGAATTATCAACTCCAGGAAGAAGAAAATGTTGAAATGTACTATCCTTTCACTACTTGGCTCAGCAGTAAACAATGTTTACGTTCTCATCATAATGAAAATGCTACATGTGGATTTAACAAAAAAATTGATAAACAATTGGAAGGATAGAAACCGAAGGAAGGGGAGGAGTAAGTGATCCAAAACATTCACTTACTATAGTGGGAAATAAGTGAATCAAGAGGGAGAAGTATTTGCCTGCTATCTAAAAATATAAATGTAAATATATATATAAAAATCTATGAATGTTGCTTCTGAGGAACAAAAGGAAGACGGGGTAGGAAGGTAGTCAAGGGACTTCTACATGTATTTTGTTCTTTTTTTTTTTACTTTTTGAGACGGAGTCTCGCTCTGTCACCCAGGCTGGAGTGCAGTGGCTCAATCTCGGCTCACTGCAACCTCTGCCTCCTGGGTTCAAGCAAATCTCCTGCCTCACTCAGCCTCCCTCGTAGCTGGGATTACAGGTGTGCACCACCACGCCCAGCTAATCTTTGTATTTTTAGTAGAGACAGGGTTTTGCCATGTTGGCAAAGCTAGTCTCAAATTCCTTATCTCAAGTGATCCACCCACCATGGCCTCCCAAAGTGCTGAGATTACAGGCGTGAGGCACCACGCCCTGCCGGTATTTTTTTTTTTTTTTTTTTTTTTTGAGATAAAGTCTCACTCTGTCCCCCAGGCTGAAGTGCTGTGGCACGATCTCGGCTCACTGCAAGCTCTGCCTCCTGGGTTCACGCCATTCTTCTGCCTCAGCCTCCCGAGTAGCTGTGACTACAGGCGCCCGCCACCATGCCCAGCTAATTTTTTGTAGTTTTAGTAGAGACGGGGTTTCACCTTGTTAACCAGGATGGTCTTGATCTCCTGACCTCGTGATCCACCTGCCTCAGACTCCCAAAGTGTTGGGATTACAGGCACCTCACCTAATTTTTTTGTATTTTTTGTAGAGATGGGTTTTCACCATGTTGCCCAGGCTAATTGCAAATCCCTGGGCTCAAGTGATCCTCCCACCTTGGCCTCCCAATGTGCTGGGATTACAGGCATGAACCATGGAGCCTGGCCAACAGAGAGGTTCTGTTAGCAGAGAAGGATAGAAAGGAAAAGCATGTAGGGTACAGTTACCAAAGTTCGACTGCAGGGCATCTCCTCTGCCCTCCCTCTGAGATCTAAATTGCTGGTTGAAACTTCTTTGGCTCTCCTCTCTCTAAGCCTGGTGGAAACTGTTGTAACTATGCCCATGGGGGGAAAGGGTGTTGATGTGGGAGGAGGTTGGGAGATCATCTAGTCTAACCCCCTCACTTCACTGAGCCAGAGAGAGGATGTGCCAGGACCCTCCAATCCAAGTCCCACATTCTTTCCACCACTTCAACAAGGAAACAGCTGTGATTGAGGTTATTTAGGTGGCAAATGGACACATTTACCCTTGGCATACAGAATACAGTTGTCCATGTTGGCCTAGCATGATTGTCGGTTGTGTGAGTTTGCTAGGGCTGCCGTAACAATGTACCACACGCTGAGTGGCTTAAACAACAGAGATGTATTGTCTCTCAGTTTTGGAGGCTAGGAGTTCATGATCAAGGTGTCAGCAGGGTTGGTTCTTTCTGAGGACTGTGGGAAAGAACCTGTCCATGCTTTCCCCTAGCTTCTGGTGCCTCGCTGGCAATCTTTGGCATTTCTTGGCTAGTGGATCTCTGCCTTTATCTTCACATGGCGTCCTCCCTGTGTTTTTCTGTGTCCAAATGTCCTCTTTTTATAGAGATAACACTCCTATTGGATTAGGGCCCACCCTGCCTCAGTATTACTTCATCTTTGTCTTAACTAAACTAATTGCACCTGCAAAAACTGTTTTCCCTCCCTCCCTCCCTCCCTCCCTCCCTCCCTTTCCTTCCTTCCTTCCTTCCTTCCTTCCTTCCTTCCTTCCTTCCTTCCTTCCTTCCTTCCTTCCTTCCTTCCTTCCTTTTCTCTGTTCCTTCCTTCCTTTTCTCTCTTTCTTTCTTCCTTCCTTCCTTTTCTTCAGGGTCTCAGTCACCCAGGCTGAAGTGCGGTGGCATGATCATGACTCATTGCAGCCTCAACCTCCTGGGCTCAAGGAATCCTCCTACATCATCTTCCTGAGTAGCTGGGACTACAGGCACACACCGCCACACCCAGCTAATGTTTTCATTTTCTATTTTTGTAGAGTTGAGGTGTCCCTATGTTGCTTAGGCTGGGCTCGAACTTCTGGGCTCAAGCGATCCTCCCGCCTCAGTCTCCCAAAGTATTGGAATTACAGACATGAGCCACCGCACCCAGCTGACTGTTTTCTTTAAATAAAGTCTTATTCTGAAGCACTGGGGGTTAGAACTTCAACACATAAATTTGGAGATGGGGAGGGATAAACAATTCAACTCAAAACACTGATGTGATAAACTCAGGTGCTGTATGTTTTCCATGGGAAGTGTAACCTTGAAGATCTTCCAGTTGCATCTTGCTTTGACTCTTGGCTTAAAACTCTGTATAAAGCAGTAGATCCACCTAAAAGATTTTATTGGCCCAGGTGAGACCAGGAATCTGTCTCTTTTTTCCTGAGACGGCATGTTGCAGCCTGAACTCTGCTATGGCAACTATAGAAAGTCTTTGACGGGCCTCTAATCTGCTTCAGTGCACACACCTGTGTCAGCTGTGACCTCTCTGTGAGTCATATTTTGCCTTCAGAAGGATCTGAAAGTGTATTAGCTGGCTAAAAACTCCTGAAAAATGCAGCCACCTGGGGGAATAATGCATCTTACAGCTTCAGAAGCACAAGGTATTTGTGGACAGACAATGGAATTCGAGAGAATATGGGAAAAGCTTGATGTCATTGCAAGTCTAGGGAGATGTATTCAGTCATTTATTTATTCATACATTTTTTGAGGAAGTTCTTATTGAGCACTCAAGATGAGCCAGACACTGAAAATCTAGCGGGAAAGAAAACCATACAAGCAATTTCTAATTGTGATAAATGATGCAAAGGCAACTGACAGTCTGCAATAATAAGGCACAATATGGATA